TAACAACCAAAACAGAAGCGGACTCATAGATACAGAAAACAGACTGGCAGCTGTTTGGGGGGGGGCTGGGTGAAAAGGTGAAGGGATTAAGAAAACAACAACAACAAACCTCATAGACACAGACCACAGTATGGTGATTACCAGAGGAGATCTGACTTTGGGTGGTGAGCACACAACACAATATACAGATGATGTGTTATAGAATTGTACACCTGAAACTTACATAATTGTATTAACCAATGTCACCCCAATAATTTCAATAAAAAAATTTTTTAAATAAAGACTGTGAGGTAAGCACAGTGTTTTTAGATCAAGCATCTGCAAGTTTAGTGGTTGGGAGATTGATCAAGTTATAATAAACAAACCAAATACATGGAATATTGTAAATGGTGTTAAAATTGGCTATCCATTTGGAAAAAAAATAAAATTAGATCCCTACGTTACTCCCAGATGCAGGTAGCATCCCCCAGCAAACCAGAAAGCAGCTTTCCAGCAAGTTCTGCCAAACTGAACTCTGCCTCTTGAAGATCTGTTCCATCCTTGGATGATCTGCCTCAGCCCTAGAGGAAGTGACTGTTCCTTATATATGCTATTTCTGTACTCTTTAGGGTTTTCTTTTTCTCTTATGTAATCTGTTTAGTTAATAATTCTTTATATTAAACTCCCTGTTTAAATTTGAAAATAAATTCCAGATAACATAAAGGACAAAACTATAAAATTACTGAAAATGAGAGCTTTTTAAAAAAATTTACCTTTACTGTTGAAAGTATTACAAATGTCCCCTTTTTTGAAAATGAGTGCTTTTTAAGTATATAAACATGGGACTTAAGGTCTTCCTAAGCAAGCTGCGGAAACCCAGAAATAGTAAATTTTAAAAATGATCAGATCTACATAAAAATTAAAGCTTTCTGAATAACAAAAGAAAAAGTGCATATAACTACTATCAGGGAAGTACAAATTAAAAAGCCTTCGTGTCACCTACTTGCTTTAAAACCCTTCAATGGTTTCCCCTACAGCTCTAAGGCTACAGCCCACTCAGACCAGTCCATACCTATTTCATTCCCTCTCATTCTCTCTACCCAGAGACGCAGACTAAAGGAAAAAAAGGGGAGGACTACTGCTCCCCTTCCAGAAAAAAAAGAGGGGGGGACTACTGCTCACCCATTGGATCTCAGCTCCAGGAGCACTTCCTCAGAAACATTTCCTGGCCTCCCTATATGGGTCACACTCAATTATAGGCATTCATAGCATTGCGTATCTCTGCCAGTTGCTCAGGCAAGAAACCTTTGAGTGATCCTTGACTACTCTCTCTCTCGAATCCCATAACTAATCCAAATCCTAATGGCCATACCTACTGGACCAATGTACCCTTGGTCCAAGCCTCATCATCTTTTTCCTGGATTAATGCATCCCTTGCCTCCCTTTACTCTGTTGTCAATCTAGCAGCCAGAATGGTTTTTTAAAACATAAGTCAGATCACATAACTCCTCTGCTCAAAACCTTTTCAATGGTTCCCCATAGTGAAAGCCAATATTTACAATTTTGGGCTACAATGTAGGGCCCAATAAGATCTGCCCCCATCCCTACAACCTCACCTCAGATCCTACTACTCTTCCTCTCCCTTCCCCTCACTCCCCCCTCATCCCCATAACTTCATTACAGCCACACTAGCCTCCACATCATTCCAATATGCACTCCTTCCTTAAGGCATTTGCAAAAGTTGATCCCTCTATCTGAAACACTCCTCCATATATCCTCACAGCTAACTCCTCTATCTCCTTCAAATCTTTGCTCAAATGTCATCTTGTCAATAAGGCTACTCTGACTACACTATTTAAAACCAGCCTATCCTTCCTTTTATCCTGCTCCATTTTTTTTTTTTTTGCACTTATCACCTAACAATACATATCGTTTGCTTATGTTTGTTGTTTAATATCTATTTCTCCCACACAAGGGCAGGGTTATATATCATGTGTTGCCCACTATTGTATTCCAAATACCTAGAAGTGTCCATGGCAAGTAGCACACACTCATATTTGTGGAGTAGTTTTATATATTTCTGTGGAATTATCTAATTAATGGCCAACTGATTCACTACCTAGGAATGGGGACTGGGTTTAGTTTTGTTTGTTATTGTATTTTCTAGAGCATAGCATAGGGCTTGCCACACTAGACACAGAAACATTTATGTATTAAAGAATATCCTTTCCTTAATCCATCAGAAGATACAAATTTAAAACAACTGACATTATCCAGGGCATGTAAGAGTGTAGGGGAAATCCAGCCTCTCACATACTGTTAGAGGTATGTAAATTGATACTTTTTTTGCAAGTAAACTAGCAATAGCTATTAAAATTTAAACCACTCAGAGCTCATGCCCTTTCATTCAGTACTCTTACAGAAATAAAAGAGTACCTGAAAAATATGTAAAAGTGTATCTACTCCAGCACTGCTTATAAAATAATAAAAAAATCTTTGGCAATCTTCTTGTCCATCAATAGAGAAATAAGCAAATAAACTATGCATGGTACACACATGTGATGAAATACTCTGTAAAGAATGAGGTAGATCTATAACATTGACCTGAAAAGTAGTCCATGATCTAGTAAAGAGGCCAAAGGGCCCTGACATCAGATGACCTAAATTTGAATCCCGGCTCCCCCCACTTCAAGCAATATAACTCTAGGTACTTTTAACTTCTCCAGGTTTCAGTTTCCTCATCAATAAAACAGGAACAATAATATTACAATAATACCCACCTTACTGACACAAAGATTTCCTGAAATAACACGTGTAGTGCTTATAGCACATTACCTGGCCCACATAACCATCTATAAGTATATAATAAGTCTAGCTAACATTTTTCTTTCTTTCTTTTAGCTAACATTTATGAAGTGAAATAGAAAAAATGCAGATCTATATATGTAAACCAGCAATTTTCAACCAGTGTGCCACAAGAGGCACACTAGTGTGTCACAAGAATTTTTAAAACATGTAATACCTGACTATTTCATCAGGGGTACTGACCTATTTTATTTTCCCTTTGATTGTCAAATAAAAAGACAACAGCCAACTCAACAATAGCCATCTGATGTGAATAAATCAAAATCATACCTATTCTTTTGGTCAGATCAGCCAAAAATACACTTTTTGGTGTGCCACAGAATTTTAATAATTAGTTTATGTGTGCCATGAGATGAAAAAGGTTGAAAATCGCTGATGTAAACCATGTCCATTTCAGGACGGAAGGAAAAGGTAGAATGTCTGTGTAACTACAAAAAAAGTCAAGGAATGAAAACTTAATAGTGGTTACCTCTGGGAGATAGAAGACATACTTCTTAATATGCATACTTTTTAGAAAATAGAGTTTTTAAATAAAAAAGAAATAAAGTAAAATCAGACCAAATGCTTCTAAGATATAGTTTAACTGAGATTTTAAAATACAAAAATCTATCCAGAAGAGGAGGAATGTTGTGGCTGACCAGTTTTTCCTCCTGAGAGCACAAAAGACTTACATTTGGGTTCTGGAAAGTCAAGAGCCTCTTATCAACAAATGAACAGAAAATAAAAAGTGGCAATGAAAAAAAATTTAAAAATAAAAATCTGAAGATTTTACTATTATATATAATCTTTTAATACTCAAGATAAAATGGAATAATTGGCTGCAATTTGTTTAGCTATTAAAATTACCTTTATTCTAAACAAGTAAGATGCTCCATCAAAAAAGAACAAAACTTTTTCAAAAGTTTACAAAACAAGAAATCAAAAAGAATAAAAAGAAAATTATTACATTTCATCCTGTCAATTACAAACATACCAATTATTTTCTTCTTTTTTCTGTTTGGTTTTTTTTTTTTCGGTTAATACCCCAGCATATTTTTTCCACTGATTTTTAGAGAGAGGAAGGAAGAGAGGGATGAAGGGAGGGGGAGAGAGACAGAGAACATGGATGTGATGTGGGGGCCCGGGAATGGGGATCAAATCTGCAACCCAGGTACTGTGCCCTTGACTGGGAATCAAACCTGCCACCCTTCAGTTCTCAGGCAACACTCTAACCACGGAGACACACCAGCCAGGGTTCGATTCTTTAATGAACCTACCACATCTCCGTGAAAACAAAGATGCGAGCACACACACAAAAAAGTCAAGGCTGGAGGGTGGGGGGGGGAGAGGTGGTGAAAAAGGGAAAGGGATTAAAGTGTGCTAATTGCCAGATATAAAAACAGTCACAGGAATGTAAAGTACAGCACAGGGAACATAATATTTTAACAACTATGTATGGTGTCACATGGCTACTAAACTTATCAGGACAATTACTTTGTAAGTTATATAAATGTCTAATCACTATGCTGTGTGTCTGAAACTAATAATATTGTGTGTAACTGTTATTGAATAATTTAAAAAAGAAAACAATGTGAATATAAAAGACAATTGCTTCTAAAATGGGATAAAAGCAAAATTTAAATACAAAACTAAGCAGTTATCTTTTACAGTTAGACTGAAAGAATTCTGCAATCTTTTCCTTTTCTTTTTTTATCAGCAGGACTAGGTAATTCTAGTGTGCTTAAAGCTAAAGTATTAAGAAGTGATCTATATTAAGTCAAATCCCCAAGATGAACTTCTAAGACACTGACACAAAGCACTCAAATATACCAAATTCCATCTCCTTTTGTACACAGTAGCTGTGGCTGCTCATTTACTACACTAATTGAAAATAAATATTGCAACCTATGCAAACAAAATCTCATCCTAAAGTCACAGGACTTGGAAAATAGGGAACAAACCTGTACTAAGAATAGCAAGAATACCAGATTTCCTAAAGCTAATTTTCCTAGCCTCTTTCAAGTGCTTAGTCACTTCTGCCTATTTACAAGGAAGACCATTTTACATCTTGAAAGAGGCAGGGAATTTTGATTCCAGGCTGTCATGTCACCTGAGCTGCCCTAGAGTTTGTTTCCATGCAACTCAAGAGATGGCAACAACCAGCTAAGCATACCTACCACTCCAGATCAGAACCAGAAGTCACCGGAGCTCTCTGTATCCTGCCTCTGTCTGCAGTAACAAAGAGGGGTTTGTGGAAAATGCAGTTTTCTTCCCTGACACCAAATGTAAAAGGTGAGAATTAAAATGTAGCCTGAAAACATGCCAGTTTCCGCTCTCTAAAAGCCAAACAGAAATGCCTCCCTTTCTCCTCTGCTGAAAACAGCAGGCCGACTTTCTCATACAACTACAGGTGAGGGTACTGGACATCTCTCCTCAGGCAACCAACAAAACCTACAATTAAAGGCTAACGGGCTCTGAAGCATACTTCCAAGACAGCAGCTAGCCTTAAAATCTGCTAACATGGTAACATTGTTTCAGGTTCCCCAAAAGCAAGAACAAGCAGAAAGGTTTTCATTAAAAAGTTATTTCAAGAGACAACCTTAGTTAGGCAAAGGCAAGTTTTAAGTGCCTACTAGGAGCCCAGCATCATATCCCAACATTCCACTCACACTTAACGAAGCTTCGTCCGCACACTGATTATAGAAACACACCTACCTGAAAGAACTTTCTCAACTACTTACAGTGGGACCTTGTCAAAGACCAAGAGCATTCTTTCCAAACTACTCCAGGTTCTAAAAACCTGGAAGGATGTGGTCAATCTCTGAAGCGGAGCTGAAGTCTGCTTCCCAGAAGGTCATGAAGGACTCTGACAACCAACCACGATTATTTAGGATGGGGCTCTTTCCTTCCAAGACCGTAAGTTATAAAACACACGTTTCCTCCACGTTAGCACTCTCAAAACCAGTCCCCTCAATGTCCCCATAATAATATTAATCACTTTACACACATACATGTTCCACCTTTAGAGATAAGATATAAAGGCATGAATTAACTTCATTAACTGAGAATACTGAAGTTCCAAGAGTCTAAGAAATTTGCCTAGAACTGTTAGTGAAGGATCCAGGTCCCTTAGGCTCCCAGGCCCCAGCACTTACCATGAAACCACACTGACTCTCAAGGAACCATACTAAATCCAGTTGCTGATCCCAACTAGTTTTGTCACAAAAGTGGGTGCAAAGCGCTCGCGGACAGGGACTGAGGGAGGGAGGAGAGCACACCACCACTATGTACGATTTTTTTTTCTTCTCTAACTAATATGCATGTTCCTCATTTCCAGCCTCCCCAAGGGCAGAGCCCACGTGCGGGACCCACGGCTACCCCACGGCAGCTCCCTCCACGCGCTCGCCAGCTCCGGCCAGGCCCCCCGCGGCCTCCCCACGCCCTTCCCTCCGCCTTCCGCCCGCGCGGCCGCCGGCACCTCCTGCC